AAGTTTTAATTAATTGGACTGAGAATCAACAGAAATTCTTCTCAGATCTATCTATTAAATTCACCTCAATATCCGTCCATTTATTTATTGTTTTCCCACCAGAATTCTTCTCCTCGTCACTATCAATATCTAATCTACTAAAATCCATAGGTTGAATATTTGGAGGTATTGACCAATTTTGGAAAGATTTATTAATTAAACTTTCATTTTTCCTTGCCGAATTTTCTGAAGAAGAACAAGAAGAGTGGTGAGGATGATAGCCTGAAGAACTTGATAATTGACCTGATGCTGGTTTAATTTCTCCAGCTTTGAAGGAGATATTATTTGCTAAAATATAATTTTAATTAAAATAATGTAGCTTCAGAATGTGGATTAAGATTATTATTTAGAACTTGGTAGTAATTTAAAAAATTAAATGAAAATTCTTAATATTTAAGAATTTATTCACACAACAATCCCCAATATTTTGTATTCCACTTTTTCTTATGAATTATGAAAAAATCTAGTTTTCATCGAAAATAATAGAATCGAAACTTCTTTTTACTAATTGTAAGTTATAGTTTTTCTTTAATTCAAAATTTAATTTTGGCTTATTCTATCCCCCTACTAAAAAATCCCCATTTAACAATTTAATTTACATACAATTTAATTCAATTTCCTCGATTTCTTCTAATTCTCTCAATTCATAACTTTTTTCTTCTTCAATTAACGAAGGAATTGAAAAGTCTACATTACTTTTTATTCTTATTTCAGGCATTTTAAATTGTTTTATTTCTATATTATTATTTGGAAATTCTTCTTCAGATGAGAATTTTTGTTCATTTGGTTCTTGTTGTAATATTTCTTCTTTACCTTCCTTATTTTCTTTAAAGTATTCTTCATTTTCCAACTCCAACAATTTTTGATCATAACTAAAAATAATAATTAAATCTACTAATCAATCCATACTAAAATTCCCTTTCAAAGAATTAACGACAATGCCCTAACCCCTTATCAAAGTTCGAAACTTGAATAATCTCCATCCCCTAAAATATTTACATAAAACAAATTACCTATTTTCTTTTCTTTCTAAAATTTCCTCTTCCTTTTGTTTATCCTCCCCTTCCTCAACTTCTTCATTATCATAATCTTCCCCATCAACATTTTCTTCATTTATTCTTCCTCCAATCTGTGCCCATATCCATTCCAAATGTTTTCCAACTTTATTCATTTCCTGTAAAAGTTGTTCTTTTGTTAATTCCTTTTCAAAAATATTTTTTTCTTCTTCTTCCTCTTCAGAGGCCCAATTACTTGTTGAACTTTCTTCTTCTTCATTTAATTTTGAAGAATAATTTATTTTTTTATTTTTCCTTCTTCCTTTATTAGAATTTAAAGAACTTCTACTTTCAGAAGAATCAACAGAATTATTTGTAGAATAATAATTATTATTTATTTCACTACTACTTTTTAATGGTTCTGTTGTTGTTGTTAATTCTTCACTTCCTTCAATACCTTTTTGTTTAAGTAAAAATGAAAGGAAAGCTGAATATGTTTTTTGTTTCCTTTCTAAATCACTTTGAGTTATTGACTGTCTTTTGATTTTAGTTATTTTTGATAATTTTTTATTTGGTTTTAATTGATGTTTCGGGCGAATATTCTTTTGTTGTTTTACTTAAATTTTATTTTATTATTCAAGAAAAAAATGACGATGAAAGGGAAAAATTGACAATCACCCAATACCTCAGCTAATAATCTAAATTTTGTTTGGATGTACAAGCGATACCCAAACTACTGGACACACTCCATTTTACATAAACTTTGCATATTACCTGATCTATTTATTTCGTTGATACCCTCAATTGCTTGTAAATTCCCCATTTTCTTTCCATTTATTAAATTTGTTTCTTCTTCAAGTAATTCTAACCGTTTAATTCCTGAACGAATTTCCTCAGCTAATATTTCTAATTCATCAATTTCTTCTTTTTTACAAATATTTTCTTCTTTAATTAAATTATTTTCATTTATTTTAAAAGAAAATTTCCTCCCAATTTCATCAAAACTTTCAATTATATTATTTTTAGTATTTTTGTTTAAATTTTTTGAGACAAAAGATCGTCGATTACAACTACAAAATTCGTCAGGAACAAGTTCTAAACGCATTTGAATCAGTGAAGGAGGCAAATTAACTATCGGGAATTCACTAGATAAATACTGCATAATCAAAATATCCTCAAAATTATTTAACTTAAATTTAAAAAAAATTAAATTTTAAATTAAAAGTTTTAAAAATTACTCGAAATCTGTAATTTTCTGAAGGAAATATTTGTAAATTATTTTTATTTAATTCTGTTAATTCATTTAAATTAAACTTTTCTTCAGCCCCACTCAAAATAAGTAAATACCAATTTGGCCTGTTTAATTCATTTAATGGAGGAAAATTCCTTAAATTTGTTTAAATTATTTAATAAGAAAAATTAAAATTATTTTTAGAAATATTTACATTTTAAAATATTTTTGGTTTTGTTGTTGTAAAGTATGTAAGAAAAGCGCTGCTGCGTCTAAATCCTCTGTTTCAGCCAATTTTATCCATCTAATTTTTTAGATTTAATAAATTTAGAATATTAAATGACTAGCTTGCTTAGTCTGGTAAAACTATTTAAATATTTTATCTCAATTTTTAGTGTTTTCTGCTCTCTAGTATTTTTTTAAAATTTAAAATTACCTTTTAATACTTTTCCAAATTAATTCATTTTCTTTAGGTTCTTGACTGGCATTTTTGAAGGGAAAACTCAAAACCTCTAATTTTATTTTATATTTATTTATTAATTCAAAATCATTATTTTTAATTGATTTAATAAGTAATTCTCGTATTTGCATTCCAATGACCACAGAAAATAAAGTTTGAAAAATATTTAAATCTGTATAAATTTCGTTTTCCGAATGGCCAATAAATAATTGTTTTTCAAGAATAATTGAGAGATCATTTGATGAGTTATTGGTAAACTAAAAAATAAATTATGAATTTTTATTAAAATGATAAAAAAGAGCTTAAAGCATTTAATAAATTGATAATAATTAATTAAAATAAAGTTGATTTATAGAAATTAAAGTTATTGTATCGATGATTTCGGAGTGTATGGATGATTCGTATAGATGATTTTATCTTAAAATATTATTAGGGAAATTACAAATCTACAATTGTAGAATTGAAAAATATCGTATAAATAATTTCGGAATAGCAGTTATATTAAAATATTATTAGGGAAATTACAAATCTACAATTGTAGAATTGAAAAATATCGTATAAATAATTTCGGAATAGCAGTTATATTAAAATATTATTAGGGAAATTACAAATCTACAATTGTAGAATTGAAAAATATCGTATAAATAATTTCGGAATAGCAGTTATATTAAAATATTATTAGGGAAATTACAAATCTACAATTGTAGAATTGAAAAATATCGTATAAATAATTTCGGAATAGCAGTTATATTAAAATATTATTAGGGAAATTACAAATCTACAATTGTAGAATTGAAAAATATCGTATAAATAATTTCGGAATAGCAGTTATATTAAAATATTATTAGGGAAATTACAAATCTACAATTGTAGAATCGATTGTAGTACTATTACAACAATTTTAGTTTTAGTCTCTTTAATAAAATTCTACATTTTATTATTAAAATATTTAAAATTTACCTCGTTTATTTTATTATTTTTGTTACTATTTTCTTGACTTTGAGCCATCCATAGTGCAGAAAATCCAATTAAATTCTCCATTCGATTTGAAATTCCAAAAGCCATACTTATAATTAAATAACATCTATGTAGCCTTAACCAACTCAAAGATTCTTGATTTTTTTCTAGACTATTTTTATTACTAAACAAATTTAAATTATCTTCTTCTAAAGGAATAGAAAATATTGGTGGACGAGGTAAAAAACGTGAAAGATACTAAAAATTAAATTTTTAAATTATTAATTTAATAAAAATGTTACTCTAATATTATCTGAAGAACAAATAAATTCATTTCCAAAAGAAAAATCTTCTAAAAGTTTTTCAAATTCAGCACCCATATGATAGGCACATTCTGCAATAAGGCAATCAAAAAACCCGATATAATTGTGAAAATTTGAGGGAAAAAGAATGTCAATATTTAAAGCCGCCTAAAATAAATTTTTAAAATTTTTAAATTAAAATTTTAACATTTGCTTTAAAAGATGGCGATATCGATGCTAGCGATATCGATGCTAAAAATATTGCCTCTAATTAATAAATTTCTACATATATAGGGGTGGATCTACATATATATTATTTTATCTAATAAAACACGTTATTATCATAAATTTAAATATTTTTTTAAATTTGCATTTGTTAAACATAAACCTCTAAATTTTGTTGAATATATTTAATAATTTCTTGATTATTCGTAAAAGTTTGAGCATTATCAAAATTTTCAAGGAACAAAATTCTTTCCAAAAATTGTCTAATTAATAAATTTCGACAAAAATCAGATAATAATTGAAGACTATATAAATATAAATTTTTATTATTTTTGAATAAATATTTTAAAGTAATTTGTCAACCTATAAATCTTTTCAGCAAAAAACCTCAAAAGCAAATTAGCCCTCAAATCATTAAAATGATCAACAAAAAATATTGCCTCTAAAATTCTCTCTTCTCTTAATAAAAGATATATTGCTAATTTAGGAGAACAATCTTCTAATAAAATTTGTCCTAATTGCCAATGATTATTATTTAAATTTAAATTATTTTCTTCTTTATTTTCATCAATCCATTGTTCTTCTAATTCGGACCAAATTATTAAATTTGGTAATATACAAATATTCTCAGAATTGGAGATATCTTTAAATTTAAATGTTTAAAATTAATTTTTGAATATCAGACAATATATTTATTAGGTATGTTTTAAAAAAATACAATTTATTTTGAAAGATTTTTTGAGGACTAGAAGAAGGGTTTGAGTGAAATTTATTGTTTTTCTATAAACAATTCAATTTACTAACAGTAAAGATAAGAATCCTATAAAACCCTCAATCAACCAAAAACAAAAAAAGCTTAAACCTTTATGAGAAATATCCAATTTTTTGATATTTTTGAATAAAAGAGGGAATGAAAAATTTAAATAATAAGCAGCCAAAAAGCGTCCCAATTCTAATCGAAGTTGGGAATAATTAATTGTTGAGGATTGAGTTGATTTGGTAGGATCATTAGAAATTAACTGTTTTAAATCTTCCTGACTTCTCAAAAAAGTGAAGAGCCTCAAACGGAAGCGAGCTTCTAACTCGTTAGAATGTAAATTAACATCCATTAACATCCATCAAAGTTTAAAAATTAATTATAAATCTATTTGGTAATTTTACATTATTTCTCAAATAATTTATATTTAAATTTAATTTTAATAAATGGTCAAAATAAAATAGAGATAGAAATAATAATTAATGGGCAACTATCCAGCGTTTCCATGGTAACAAAAAAGTAAATAGAAAAATTCGTTTCCAATTATTAAATTGAAATTTAAAATGCACCGTTTTTATGCATCATAAAAAAATAAAAATGTTTATCCAATATATTTAAAATAAAATTACCTTTTAAATATTTGTTTGTTTTGGAAATCAATTTTATTTTATAAGAGGATAATTTTTAAAATTATAATAAAATTAAAAATTAAAAATTAATTAAAATTTCTTTAAATTTTACACAAAAAAACAAATTTCATATAAATTAAATGTCTATTTTTAATTTAGGTATTTATTAAAATTTAGTGGTTAATCCGAGTAACTATACGGTGAATGTGCAAGTTTAATAAATCTCAATCTTTTCACTACTTACAAGATTTTTTTGTAATTTAACATTTTTATTTTCAAACAATTAAAAGTATTAATTTAAAATAAATTATTACTTCATTCACCGAAATTAATTAATAAAAATAGCGACATCTAATTTAAATGTTAAAAATCAATCACTTAATTAAAGACCCGAAAAAAATATTTCTTCAAAAATACATAAGTGCAGTTCATTTAATTATTTTTTGTGATTGACCCGTTTTTTTTGTTACGTATTTTTAGCCACACAAAAATAAAAATAATTTTTAATGATAAATAATAATAACTCGTTTTTAACTTCAAATCAAAATTTTTCTAATTTCTTGTTTGGTCTGATTATTGGTGCAATTGGCTCAGCACTTATTTTGTTTAGTCAATTTTCTGATTTTCAAATTCAATTTTTGCAATTTAAATGGTTAAAAAATGAAAGTGTTGATTTATCTAAATATTCTAGTTTAATTTATTTTTTGAAATTAAAGTCAATTAAAATTTTAAGAAAATCCAAATATTTTTTGTTGGATTATGACAACTCCAAAATATCATCGTGAAAGGGCTGATCATGTGGAGGCAACGTGGGCACCACATTGTGATAAACATTTATTTATGAGTACTAAAAATGACAATAAATTACCTATTGTGAATTTATCTGTGCCTGAAGGGAGAGAATTTCTTTGGGTTTTGCAAAGAATTTTATTTTGATTTTTAATAATATTCAGGCAAAAACTAAAGCTGCTTTTAAATATATTTATGAAAATATAGATATTGTAGGTATTTTCAATGAAATATTGAAAAAATAAAGTAAAATTTAAGTCAAAATTTGAATGGTTCTTAAAGGCTGATGATGACACTTTTGTTATTGTGGAAAATTTAAGAAAATTATTAGAAAAATATTCAGCAGATTCTCTCATTTATTTTGGTGCTATCTTTCATTTTATGGGTTAATTATTTATTCAAAAAATGTTTATAAAAATCAGAAAATATTTAGATGCTTCTCTTGGCCAAACATATCCAAGTGGAGGTGCTGGTTACGTTTTAAGTAGAGCGGCTCTTCGTAAATTTGTTGAAATAGGTTTACATGGAGATAAATTGTGTGACTCAAAAGAAATTTATGAAGATTTAGAAATTGGTAGTTGTATGAGGAAATTAAATATTTCTTTAATAGATTCTAGGTATTACTTAAATTATTTACTTAAATTATATTTTAAATTAATAGAGATTCTAAAGGAAGACATAGATTCATACCAGTCTCGCCAGATAATTCACTTATTAAATTGCCAGATGATGATTATTATAATTGGGTACAAAGCTACAGCAAATTTCCTTATAAATCGGTATATATTTAAAATAAATGTTTTTCTTCCAGATAACTAAATGATTCTCCATTTCCTTTCAGGGTCCTAATTGCTGCTCAGATAGTGCAATCTCCTTCCATTACATAGATCCAAAAATGATGCATACAATGAATTACTTAATTTATAATTTAAATGTTGGCTATACAAAAGATTAATTTAACTATATATTTTAAAACTAAAAAAATATTTTTAAATTCTAATTTCAAAATTTTTTGTCCAAAATGAAAAAGGTAAAGCAAAATTGTTAAACCAAAAAATTCTCCCAAGCACCTGCCTTCTGTCCACTTTTCTTTGCCATATACTCTCATAAATGAGTGGTTTGCCATTTAATATCCCCATTTGGTTGCCTAACTACCTAACAACCAAACAGACTTTTAATATATTTTATAGCGTCCACTAAAACTATCTCGGCAATAACCCCATTATTTTTTCCTTTTTAGCTTCCGAAATTTCCACAAATTTATAGATTTTTTTGTAAAAATATATGCACATTTCTCTTAAAATATTTCATATAAATTTATTGTTAATAACCTTAGAAAATATTATTTAGTTCTTAAATTAATTATTTTGAATATTTTTTAAATTAATTACTCTCCCCTTCCAGCAGAAATCTGAAACAATAATAACCCAAGGTAATTAATCGAGTATGCTTATTTTATTTTTGTCTGTAATATTTTGGCACCACGAGCAGGCTAAAAATAGCAAATAAAAATACGAAGAAATTTTTATTAAAGAAGGGAATGTGTAAATTCTAAACCTAAAAATATAAAAAAGAATATGACTAAAGGAACGACCTTTTTTGAGGTTGACCCGAACATCAACAAATATTAAAAATAAATGTTTGTCAATATGCAAATATTTTAACAAAAATATTTTTATTTATTTGCTTTTATTTTAGGCAAAGCTAAAAAATAAAAGATGAAAATAGATATTTAGGAGCGGCCATATATTTTTATTTTTATATTTATTTTTTTTATTTTTAGACATTTATTTGGAGTTGAAAACTTTTTCTAATAAAAATTATTTTTAGATAAATATTTGTTAAGTAATTAATTTTGTTTGAAATAACTAGGTTTTTTTATTTAAAATTTATTTATTTAATTAAAAGATAGAAATTATTACAATTTAATCTTCACTTTTAATTTATAAATGATTAAATAATTCTCTTATTAATTTAAAACTTTTCTTATTAATTTTTAACATTTTCTGTTCCGTGTCCTTCAAACAAATAAAATTCTTCAAAAAACTTTCCGGCAGAACAATTTTATATATTATTTTTAACCATTCTTCCATCTTCGTTTGCAGACAGACGACTGCACACCTTCTTCCTTTACTCCCTCCAAACAATTTTTTTAATATTTTAAAAAAAATGTTCTTCTTCTTCTTTCCTTATTCTCATCCATTTTGATTTTTTTTTGCGTTTATTCCCCCATATTTGCACCTTTCAACTTTGGCCTGTAGATTCTTCTCTAACCCCTTACCAAAGCCGCAAATTGTTCTACTTTACCAGTCACTTACCTTCTTTCATTTAAGCTTTTTGATTTTTTGTAGAAAGAAAGTAATGTTTTTTGATAGAAAATCTAAACTTTTCATTTTTTCTTAAAACATTTCAAAAAAATAATTTTAAAAATTATTTTTAATTTTTCTAAATTTAAAACCAAATAGGGATCCATTTAACGATCGATGCCCACTTCTAGAGAATATCTTTCCTGTATCGACTGCCATAGATTTTTCATTGTTTTTTTTTATTTGTACAAGGCCATATAACCTCTCATTTGTAAAATTATTTTAGGTATATTTTTTAAGAATAATATTTGGGGTTTTTTAAATTTATTTTAAATAAATATCATTTAATTATCTGTTTAAGATTAGGTTTAGGGTTGCCAGCTCGCTCGAACTGAAACTCGAAAGATAGAGCGAGCCGAGGTTTTTCAGCTCGTAAACGAACCGAATCGAAAAAAACCAAGCTCAAAAAATGCACCGAACGTCGGTTCGAACCGAAAACGTCAACCCTAATTAGGTCACATACCTATATTACTAAATGTAATGTTAAAGCCAGTGCCAATCCTACCTACTAAATTTTAAAAATTTATTTTAAAATATCTTACTCAATTTTATTTTTAATAATCATTTAAATAAATAAATATTTTAATTAATTGTTAACACTTATCTACGTCATTTAATCCACACACATAACTTTTAAATTATTTTTTAATCTTTCATTTGTTTGACTAAATAATCTTTAAAAATAAACAAAAAAAAACAGGAAATAATAGAAAAGAAAACATGTGGAACTTAAATGTTTTTAAGTGAAGTTAAGTTTGTTTTTAATTGTTCACTTAGTCTTTTGAATGAATGAGCTTTTTTTGTTGTTTCTCTGGAACTTGTAAATAAATAAAATTAAATTGTTTTTATTTTATTTATTTTTTCTTTTTAACGCCTTTCTTTCCTCTTGACCATTCTGGACAGGTTGCCGAATTTTTGTTTAAGTCTCTTCATTATATTCGAAATGTTGACTGACCATTGTTCTCCCAGGTGGACATAAATATAATCTGCGAGGGAATGAAATAAAAAGTAAATATATAAAGAAGCTTCGTTTTTGCAATTTTGGTGTCAAATGACTTGAAAACACTCTAATGAAGTTTTCTTTAAAAAATTATTTTAAAGTTAAATTCTTTCTAGAATAAAATTATATTTTGATGTTTTGACTGTCTAGAATTAAAAAATAGTAAATATTTTAAATGTTTATTTAACAGAATTTAATGATTTATTTAAAAATATTTATCATTAAATGACTCTAAAATTAAATTACCTACTATAATATATTAAATATTTATTCTTCAACTTTCTAAGCTTTCATGGCCTTAATATAATTTTAACTAATTTCTTTAAATTGACTCGTTATTTTTTTATTTTCTATCATTCTTTTTGCAATTTACAAAAAATAATATAAAAGAATTTATTATTCTTCCACCAAAACTTGAAGCATTTTAAAGGAGCTTTTCCCAAAATTGCACAATATTGTTTTTATTTAATTCTTTCACTTTTTCCACTTCAGACTTTTTATATTATTTATTAATTTTTATGTAAAATAAATTTATAAAATTTAAATTAAATTGGAAACATTTAAATTTACTAA